CCCCCCAATAGAAGCTTCCAACAGATCTCAGCATGCAAGTTCTATAAAAATAGACTTGGGGGGGTGGGGGTGGAGGGGAGCATTCCCTGTACTCAGCCCATACATTGCAAGTGCAGTTTGAAAACCACAATTTTTTGTGGCAATTTAAGCAAAGGAGTGATACAATACAATTTGCTCTCTTGATATATCACTCTGATGGGTGTGGAGAGAATGGAGTTGAGCAAGATGAAATTAGAGGTAGAGATGTCAGTTAGGAACAAATGGCAAAAGCCAAAAGATGACGCTCTGAGCTGGTGCCATGGTAGTAAGGATGGAAGAAAGGGGTAACTGAGGACCCTAAGGAGGCCTTTGTGAAGCTAAACTAACTGCACATGTGGTTGCTATCTGGTCCCAGTTGGCACTATCACTTGATCCCAGATTTCTAATAGGGAGAGTTCAACTCACTAATGAATTTCCAGGTGGGGAAACCTGTCTTCTAAATGTATTGTGCATGGAGTGTCAAGGCTTTATGCCCTGTTTTATATTATTGCTAGGAAAAACTGATTTGTGTTATTTTGCTTTATATAAATTAACAACTATTAAAATAATGTATCATTTAAAAATTTTTTTAAATCAACTAACCAATGCTTAACTTCTTTAATAGCTTTTCTCATATTTAATATTTCAACAGTCAATAAATCTGGTAGGTTTTTATTTCCTTACGCTTAAAAAGAAAATATTAAACTATATATGTGTGAAGACATTTCTTCAGGTGAAAACACTGTAGTCAAAGCAGCTTAAAAAGAAAAAGCCAAGCTCTAAAATTAGCATATACCATTTCCATCGCCCTCAGATGTTTTATTTTACATTACCTTTCAGGGCATTGCTGGAAAAAAGCTGTCAGCTGCTGCAAAAGCACTGGCCAGCAATCAGGTCTGTGTTCAAGCACAGTGATCAAAGGCTGAGGATGATTTCTGAAAAACACAGGAAGTCACATTGGAAACTGTCATTTCAGGACTACATATTCTCAATATCCAAATATAGCAGCAAAAACAAGAAACAAAAGAAGAAAGTCAATGCCATCTAGAGACTTTTTGCAGGATTCATAATTGTGGCAAACTATCATTTGCTGCATTTGTTGCAGAGTTGGTTCATTAGAACTGACCATTTTTTTCCTTTAAATTGTTTTTGCAGAAAAGAGAACGAACCCTGAGGCTTAGAGACCTGAATCTGAGAACGGACTCTGCGACTTAGACCAACCAAGCTCCTGAATCCAGCGGCTCTCTCATCTCCATCCCCGATTCCCTGTTGCTGACAGTCATGCCTCCTGCTGCTCTTTCCAAACCTGGAAGGTTCCATTTGCACTAACACTGCCCCATCTCATAAGCACTGTCATCTCTTCTCTGTTCCCACTTACCCCCCCATCCTGCTCAGTGTAAAGCTCTGGGTTCCCCTGGCCTGTTTAAGATGAGAAAAAAGAAAGGATTTCTCCCATCTCAAAGAACAAACTGTCCAAACTGAAAATGCTTGAAATTTCTCTTGAACAAGGATGAGTCTTTTTATTTGGAGTCCATTAAGATATCTTAAAAAACACACAAACCTATATAAAACATTAGAATCCTTCAGATTGCAGATATTAAGAAAAACAAAAAAGCCACAAACAAAATATTTTAAATGGTTGAAAAGGTCTACTAGAAACTGTAAATTCATTAGATTCTTCAACTATGAAGCACTATACAAAGTTTTTAGTTATGGTGGATGTGGCTTCTTCCAAAAAATTTAATTAAATGTAAATACTCATTATAAATTTAAAAAATACAGAAATATCCATCTCTTTAACATAAAAGGAATCAAACACATAAAATGCTATTCTTTAATTTTAATTTTTAACCCAACAATATATCACTAATAATGATTTTTAAAAAACAAGCAGACTAGTTACACCAAAATGATTTTTTAAGTGTGATCACTTTACCACAATATCAGCATCACCTAGGAACGTCTTAGAAATGTAAATAAATCCTTAGGCTCCAGCCCAGACCTAATAGCCCTCCAGACACTTCTGAGGCATGGCCTTGAAGCACTGGTTCTTAACTCTGTCTGCAAGCTAGATTCATCTGTGGAGCTCTTTCAAAAATACAAGTGTCCAGGTCTCAATTATACTGAGGTTGCTAGGAGTGGAGCCCAGGCATTAATAATTGTTAAAAACTCTCCTAGCAATTCTACTGTGTTGCCAGGTTTGAGAAACACCACAAGTAACCACCACAGAAGAGGGAGGTTGTTACGAGTTAGAAAGTGTTCTGATTTTTGTGTTCTCTCTTCAACGGAACAGTATGTCACATCCATTGCACTGAAACCCTCATCTTAAACACCTGTCCAACGCTATCGCACAGTTTCTGAGTATTAAACACCATCTCTTTCTTTTCTCAACCTCACCCAACCCATCACTAACTTCACCCACTGGCAGCGTGTTTTGCAAAGCACAGGGTATTTCTGACTGATCAGGTTACTGCCATTACAAGGGATGACTCCAAGCAATTTTTTATGCTAAAACTCAAAAATCATATAAAAGTCACATTTCCAAATTCTAAATTCTTTGACAATTAAACCTATCTAGAATTTGCTTCTATTATGGTTGCCACAGATATTAAGCAACAAATGTAATAAATCCTAAAAACGTCTCAGGTATGTCACATCAACCAAACTTCTTAAATTAAGAGTTCAGTAGATTGTGTTCAAGTAAATGTGAGTAAGAAAGACAGAACAGCAGCTGTAATTATTTTATCTATAGGTTTTTCTTCTCACAAGCACCATAATGAAATGAGGAGCATCAGACATAGTCATCCATTAATCCTCCCTCCAGCTAGTGGCAGCATTTATGACCATTTAAAAAGAAAGTCCAACAAGTTACCATAGTTTTTAGGGTGATCAGAAAGCACTGAAGTGCTTTTTAATATTCTTCCCTTATATGTCATTCCCTACCCCTTCCCAATCCTCACCCCCCAAAAATGTTGCTGATTTAGACATCTGGATAATTTACTTTTTCACAGAACGGTTTATGGCAGATCCAATAGAAATATTGTAGGAAAAAAACGATATTGATTCCAAGAAGCTGAAAACCTGAAGGGAGAAGGGAAGTCCAAATTTGGCAAAAACATTGACTCTTACTGTTGATTAACATTTCATTACTAATATTGGGCTATTTCAACTGAGTACAACTAACCTAAAATTAATTATAATTGCCAAAATTTTGTTTTACTATTTTAAGCATAATGAAGCAAAGAGCTAAATGCTCCCTTATGAACTGTTAAATTGATATGTAAATACACATATAAAATATATAATGCCTTATGCTTAATAGAATGGATACATTTTCTAAATCCGTATATTTTATCGTGCAACTGCTATATGTAAGTGTTTCTCAATCTTGGCAGTACTGACACTTGGGGCCAGGCAATGCTTTGTTATGAGGGTTCCCCAATGCACTGTGGGATGCTTGGCAGCACTCCTGGCCTTTCCCCTCTGGGTGCTAACAGCATTCACCCTAGTCATGACTATCAACTGTCTCCAGACATGACCGAATGTCATCTGGGGGCAATACAGTGCCTGGTTAAGAACCACTGAACCAGGTAAAATGACAAGCACTGCGAGAGGCACAGAGCTGATTAGAACATGGAAACAGCCTGAGTTATTAAAACAAACAGTTCATCTGCACCCTTCTTCACAATGAACCTAAAGCAATCAATTGTGCTCAACATTTATAAGTTTCTTATAGAAATATAGTACCAAATATTAACATTAGGTATACAAGAGTAACACAATACAGTAGAAACTAGACTTAAAATGGAAAACAAATGGAAAATTATGCCTTTGCAAAATTTGGAATCATGTTCCAAAATAAACTATTAAATAATGTACATACTAATTTGGGTATGATAGAAAATCATTATTTTCCTATTTAAAATATTATAATTTGAGCATTTAAAATGTCATAAGGCTAAGTATAGTTAACTCTTGATGTATTCACGGACTGATTATTAGATTTATGATTATTCTTTCCTCCTCTCACTCAGTGCTTGTTAGCCATTCCACTTCTTTCAAGTACATACAACTGAGGAAGGTCAAGGTAGATGAAGGACCCACAAATTAAATGAGTCAACTTGGCTCTTTATTAGAAGAGCTGTTGGTCAAAAAAGAAATAATGTGGTACAAAAGAACACCAAAACTTTAAGGGTTATGCCTTAAAATTTCAATTATCCCCAAACCTGCATTTCAAATTATAGAGTAAGTTAACTACAATACTTCATTCGAAATGAGAGATGAGTTGACCATACAATCAATCTGACCACTTGTAAAACAGTGGCAGACAATAAGCTACACAAGATTTGTAAACAAACACAAATGTAGGGGCACTGTCATCATCATTATTTAGATAAGCAGTGCCTACATAGTATCATCACAATTATTTACTGTTATGCTGCCACTTCCATATCTCAGAAAAAAACTAGGAGTGGACAAGTGAGGTAAAATAATAGAAGAGAAAAAACTGAATTAAGAATCAAGAGTTTCAAATTTATATTCTGACTCTGCAACAAATCGTGTGATCTCAGGCAAGAGAATTAACCTTTCTTGGGCAGTTTATCTGTAAAATGAGGAAATCAGACTAAGTACCTCCTGCTGCCAATGTTATATAACCCAAGCCACCCATTAGAGCCCTAACCTTCACACTGCTCAGAATTAGAGGTGAAATGCCGGGCTGGGTGTGGCTCAGCGGTTGAGCATCGGCCTAGGATCCAGGCAATCGGGGTTCGATTCCTGGTCAGGGCACATGCCCGGGTTGTGGGCTCCATCCCCAGTCGGGGGCATGCAGGAGGCAGCTGATCAATGACTCTCATCATTGATGTTTCTATCTCTCTCTCACTCTCCCTTCCTCTCTCTGAAATCAATAAAAATATTTTTAAAAAAAATTAGAGGTGGAACCAAACCCCGTAAAAGCAGAAAGCAGTAAAGATGGCTCTCAGCTATTAGTAATTCTATGCCAAGCTTAAATGGCCCTAAGAACAATGTCTATTCAAATCTGAGACCTCAAAAAAAGAGGTCTATTTTTATCTCAAAGAGATAAATCATCTTAGATTTTTTATTTCAGAGAGAAGTGCTATGTCCAGAATGAGCCCACAGAAATTTTTAAATCAGAATTTTCTAACCCTTGAGACACGCAGTAGATTCTGCTTTCTTCCTAAGAGGGAAGAACATTGTTTCTAAAGAGCAAAATCAATACAAGCCAGGCAACCAGGTCACCCTTCATCGGCCTTCAGTGCCTCTAATCTCTCCCTCACTGTGCATCGTTGTTGCTCTTTTCCCGACCACAGATGAACTGATGTGCGGTACATTCTCCGACACTTCCCTATTCATAATTTGTAAATGTTTTAATTGCTATTTTAAATAAAGTATTTACCATAGTCCCTAGCACACAGAATACTCCATAAATGGGGTATTATGATTATCATGCATCTTGAACTAGGGCATAAGCAGCTTGAAAGCTGGATCTATGTCTTGTGATTTTTATGTTTCCCTTTCAGTGCCAAATGCACATCTACAATAAATGTCACACTCACACACACACACACACACACACACACACACACACACACACAGAGTCCCCAAACCATCATTTTAAACTCTTTGATTAGATTATCAAAAACCAAGTTATCATAGCCCCACTAGCACACTGTTTCAAGTATATGTAGTTCAGAGAAAAAAAGCCCAGGAAGCATGCAGAATTGGTACCTAATACTTCAGTGCTCCCGCCCTTTAATAACATTGTCAAGAACACACAGCAATATGTGCATCTTAACAGAATGGAGCCGGGGACGAATGAATGATCGAGTCATAGCTCCACTAGACCAGCAGAGGCAACGGTAACCTAAGGTATGGAACTAGATTCACCTTTCCAAGTATAAGTACATCAATCTTC